GCCGACTACCGGTGGACAATTTGACCTTACAGTCGATCGTACTGATACCGTTGAGAATCTTAAGAAGATCATCTCGAAGAGGTTGAAGGTCGCAAAGGAACGTATTTGTTTACTACATCGTGAAAGGTTGGTATATCGAAATAGTAAATATATATATATATATATATATATATATGCACAAATAAATTCATAATATATATATGTATATATACATATATATATTTATATGCATATATATACACATATTATTATTGTTTTAATTATTTGTCGTTAACTATTTGTCGTTAATTATTTGTCGTTTTTTAATTTCTTGTAATGAGATAAAGAAGATGGAAGCATTTGAATCATGTGTTTTTAAATTATCAATAATTAAAAGATCTATATAAATTTTTCACAAATTAATTTTCAAAAAATATATAGACGTACTTACATAATATTCCTTGTTAAAAAGAAGAGTGTGTGGAAAAAAAATGGTAAATGAGTGTATGTGCATGTACAATATTGGTGCGTTGTATATGGTGTAGCTGAAAAGATGCGAGAGGAAGAACGAAAACAGCATCGACACGATGAAAAAGAGAGTGGGCATGATATTCGTAGGCGTCGTGGGGGCCGCTGCACGAACAGATCCTCTGTGCAAGCACGCGAGAGAAACATGGAGAGGAAGGCTGGCATACCATAAACTCGAAGTAGAAGGTGGAGGTGGTGTAGGTAGAATATCTCGAGAATCGCGTCTTGTAAAGTGGAACAGTGACAGTCTTCTGCAAAGAGAGATAGAAGAAAAAAAAAGAACTATTGGATGGAAACGACAAGGTTGATTATTCCCATACTCAAGATCATTGGAATTTTTTTTTTTTTATTATTCTTTATTGGTTTATGTATATCTATCTTGTTGTATATCTTTATTTTAATAATCAACATTCAATTCTTTTACTAGCTATAATTTTTAAAATAGTGACATGAAAGGACAATGATAATAATATTTTGCTATTTTGCTATACTTTACTAATTTGTTATAAATAGTTCTTAAAATTTTTATTTTAATTTTACAAATGTAGATTTAAAAATTTTCAGATTATTATTTTAATATAATTATAATTAACGCTTTTAATGAAAGTCATATCTTGTATTCTAAAATTATATCAAAGAGAAACAAATATCCATTATTATTTATTTGTTCATTTTATCTGTCAGTCCACTTTTGGTAATATTCACGGTTCTTTGTTATTATATATTTAATGCATTTTATGTTTGAATCTCCCCTGTGTAAACATGACACGTGCATATATGGGAATTTGTTCATTATTTTGTTTCTATTTTATATTATTACTCCTCAAGTGCATACGTATCGTATTAATTGCAGAATATATTAACGATTATAATTTATATATATTACTATTGTTTTATGTTATATGTTTTTTATCAGTTTTAATATTTTTATTATTAGTTATTAATAATTTTATTATTTTTATTATTTAATATTTTTTGGTTTTTTTGACATTTTATATTATATGAATTATATTGTTTCTAATTTACTTTATAATCTATATTAAAGATAATATTCCTTTCAAAATTAAAAAATATTGTCATTCATGTATAAATTAATTTTGATTAATTATTTATAAATTGATTTTTGAAATTAAAAAGAATGTATTTTCTAATCAATTGCAAGTTAAATCTACATAAAAAAATAACTGTAACTTTTTTGTTATTTATTCTTATATATATAAGGAATATTTTCATCCAATTAATTTTATCATTAAAGATCATTCATTTTTCATTATCAAAATCTTTTTTCATTATAGCAAAATAAAAAAGTAAAATAAAATATGTTTACAATTCTATAATTAAAAAGGATTATAAAGTATAATTATATGAATCAAAGATTATATACGGTTCCCTTCTATGACCTTAAAGTCATCAAGAAAAAAACATTATTTATCATATTACCGATAAGAATGTTTCCGTATTATCTTTATATATTTATATTTGCTCAGATATAGTTTATTTTTAGGTATTCTTGGCATGTTTTTTTTTTCTCATTATAATATCGGTCTGAGCCAAAAATATATAATTTGATTTTTTTAAAATTATACTACATGTACGTGTTGCATTATCCATCATTGTAATTGTTTTATTCGCAATTGTATGCGAAATAGAATCGTATAATTTTTTATCTAAATAAATAGTTTCTATATTTTATTTATTCATTCAATAATCAAAAAATCTTATAGATATATTTATTATCATTCTAGACATATAGTATTTAATTTTAATTATTTAATTATTTTTTAATTTAAAAATTTATTTTATACATATCTAATTTTCATGAAACCATATATTAAAATTTTTAATTGGTTGATTCGGGAATAAGAATAATATTTTTTGAATAATGGTTTTGTAATAACCAGAAAGATTTAATTGTACCAGAATATTTGCAAAAACCGTTAAATTTATTAGAATCTATGTGAGTGACACTAGGATCGCAAAAATTTGCCGCGATTTCATATTTGATGCTCAATTAATAAAAGTCTCTATTGAATCAATTTATCAACTAGAAATTCAATTCTATATAAAAATATTAATCTATGAAAACAATGTTAATTAAAGTCTATCTTAAATTTCGTTTTCATAATAATGATAATTTACATAATAATTTTTTTAATAAAGATATTTTACAAATTTATGGAATATATATTTGTGCACAATTGAAATTAATTATATAAATGTTAATGAAAAAATGTTGGATATTTTCATGATAATTTCAAACACTTTTTATATTATTTTTATATATGTATAATTTATATATATATATATATGTGTATTATATTATATATATATTTTTTCAATACATTTTCAATAATTTAATACTTCATAATGATAATAAAAAATTTTTCTTGGAAACATTTTATAATTTATGCTGTTTTTTTAACAAAAGTGTGGCTAATAAATTTCAGATGGACGTTACTCTATATTGTATAATCTGATATACATATAATAATGATGTAACTGAATTTTCTATATTGACTAATTTTCTATATGATTAAATTCTAATAAATTTCTTAGTTCTGCCTTTTATTATTAATAAACGAATATATTTAAATAATATATTTATAAATTAAGTTAAATAAATTAAAAAATGAAAATGAGAAATCATTAATACTTACATCAAGTTTATTAAACATATTCTAATGAATACACAAGGAAAACAGAAATATGAAATAATATGAAAAAAATATTGATTTTGATATTTGATTGAATTTAAAATAATTTTTAAATTCAATATCAATATATTTTTTGTTCTATTTTCTTCTAATAATATACATATCTTCTAAATATAAAATATATAAATAATATGTTTATATAATTTCTATTTAATTAAAAAAATAACTTTAAAAATTATGAATTACAAATATTTGTATTATATTATCAGATATATAAATATACTACGAAAAGATTGTATAATGACTGTGACATTATATATATGTATGAATTTGCGGTTTCAATATTTAATTTATAATGTATGATTTATCATATCATCTAATTTCGTGAATTATATTATTTTATTACTATAACATGATAATATAATTAGTGTTAATATCACTTAAATTTTGAAAATAGTAATATTATAATTTATATAACTATATATAACTATTAGAGTTTTTAAGAATTGTCATAAATTATCTTTAATTATTCATGAATTTTATATATAATATTAAAAATAGATAAAATATTTCTACATTGATAATTAATATCTTATAATTTATAAATTATAAAATATAATTTGAATGGCTAGATTTAAAATTAGGTTAAAAGAGATTTTATAAAATTGTGATAAGAGATAACATATCGATTATATTAGAATTATTCACAATAATTAAAAAATATATCGTAGAATAACATACTTAATTTAAAATTCCATAATTTTTACGATAATTTTATCAATATTGAACAATAATTTTAAATTTGTATTTTAGACAATTGCGCGAGGGAACACTTGAGGAAAATCGTTTGCAAGATGGCAGTCGACTCACATTGCTTCCGAGTGTAGAAACCGGCCTATTAGTAAGTTAAATGCATGTTCTGATAATAAAAAATTTAAAAAATTTTTTTGCCTAAATCCACAGAAAAGTTTTCATAAAAGAAAGAGAATGTAAAGATATGATTTAAATAAACGCAGTTAACTTCGTTCGTCGTATCATTGGGTCACTTGGTTTCTCGGTCAATGTATCGTCAGCGCTTTATATTCCAGTACTATTGCGTCATATTTTTCTTTGCTGATCTCGTACTATCCTTTACATGCATTACGACATCTTAAAGGTATTTCATTACACATAAAGTTTCTTTAATCCTTCTGATAGAGTGTATATTTTGATTCATATTAAGAATATATTGCATATATAAAATTTGTATTTTGAATGGCTCTTACAAAATTTTTTCTGTATTAGGAAGGATTTCAATTCTTAGAAAAGTTTAAATTATATATAAAGTAAGTTATCAAGATTTCTATCGAAATGCAGTTTATCATCTATATCATATCTATATATATATATGTACTAAAATAGATAAATGGAATTCTATGTCACATTTGAAAAGTTAATTTAATTAATTTTAAATTCTTTATCCATTTAAAAATCTTAAATAATTTTTTATTTATTTTATAGTTTCATCTTTCTGTATTTAATATTCTATCAATTCAAATGAAAAATAAGGCTCTTTAATGATTTTTTAATTGATATTTTCATTTCCAGAACAAAATCAAAAGAATCTAGCTAACAATCTCTGCTAGGTTATTCCATTTGAATCGATAAAAGAGAAGCTAGACTATGCATATATCGACTGCACGTGCATACACAAAGAAATAATCTCTAGGTACTGGCAACAGCGCCGACACTACAGGTCCTTATCGCGACCGAGACTCGTTCGCATGGCTGTCAAGGGGACCGCCCGCTCGAGTCTCGGTCACCCGCTCAATTTTAAAGTGTGCCCATGTGTAGCATGTGTAAATGTGTGTAGCTATGCCGTGTGGATCAGGATAACTGCTAACGCTACATTGCCTATACATATTTGCTATTCTTTCGTGGGTAGTTACGATAAAGCAGGGCGAGACTAATGTCGATTGTGTTCATAGTTGGCCAGCCTGATTGATTTTCTCCTGATTAAAAATATTTTTTTAGATCGATATATACTTTTTATCTAATTTTTATCTATAGTTTTACTTTTATAATAAAAATAAGATTCTTTATTTTTTTTTTATATTAATTCTTTTTAATAATATAGAAGAATATACTTTTATATGTTGTAAAAACATTTACAAGTTCATTCATAAGCAAATGCTAACGGTTCTTGACTTTCACTTGAAAAAAAAAAGTACTAAATATCGAGGTTCTCGACATTTTCTTTGAAATTAAAAATTTTATGTCTTATATTCAAATAATTTATATTCATGTTTTGAAAAACAATAATCTGAAAATGCGTATGAATATCGGCTTGAAAAATAAATTTTCTGGTTTGAAAAATAAAAGATGAAATTGATCATAGATGTATAAATATTAAAATGTAAAATATTATTCTGTAACATATGAAAACTTTATTAAACATTAAAGGTTAAAGATTTAACAATTCTGATAATGTTTGCTTAATTGAAAGAAAAGTTTTATTGATTGATTATGAAAATTCTGTGAAACAGTAGAATTTTTTTAATGTTTTCGCAATTTTCAGAATCGCAATTTATTTTCAGAAAAATGTATGTAGAAATAACATTTATATAAACATAAATAACATAAATAACATAAATAATACTTAAATAACAGGCTTGAATTTGAAATATTACTTTTATAGTGATTTAATTAATCGTTGCTAAAAATTTTGTTAATAAATAAGAATCGAAATAATTAATCATATTATCAAAAAAACAAATAATATTCTGGTAATTTAACAGATTAACGAAAATAATATTATATTTGTTTTTTATAATAATCAAAGAATTATGATATTACTGTTTATTTTTTATTCATAGATAATTTAACTTATATTTTCAATAAATTTAATAAATAACAAAAGATATTTTTAATGACTTTAGAAAATGATCTTAGAGATTAGAAAATGAACTCTGTTTCATTAAATTCTAACTATTATGCAAAAATTTTGAATACATTGTTTTGAAAAAATAGAAAATGAGATTTTGATTATGTATCTCTAAATACATTATATTAAAAAACGAATTCTTATAATTAAGATATAAATAATTATATTTCAATTCTATAATATAATAAAATTATTAAGTTCTGAAATATTTAGTTTATATATATATATATATTATAAATTGTTCAATAATATATTATTTTTAATATTATTTTATATTTCTAACAAAAATCTATTTGCATGTACATTCAATTGGAAATGTCCAATATGAAATATATATTAATGCAAATTATTCATGTTTTCTTTAATATTTTTGCTATTATTTTCAGTTGACATTATAAATTGTAAACATTCCTCATGTAATTATGCTCTTATTATTATCTGAAATTCTTTTTTTAAAACATACTTTATTTTTCTATATTACTTAGCGTGCCCTACCGAGACAGCATGGTGGGGAAGATCTATGGATGGGGAAAAACTCGAATACGACTTATAATGTTTTTGGCTTGATAGCAGGTTACGTCTTAAGCGCGGCGCCACTAGCTTCCTTGTGTTGCAATATTCATGATACTATAGCAAAGATTCTTTGATTTATATTAATTGTCACGAAATATATAGGAATCTCTAGATTAATAAATTACGAATTCTTTACAGTTAAAATATAAGATTCAATAATTATTATTTTATTAAAAAAAGTTTTAAAGAAGTTTTAAAGAAGTTAAAGAAAAAATAAAAATGAATATTTTTATAGAAATATTAATTGAATATATTTATGATTATTAATGAGTGAATTACAGAATTATACTATTAGCCTATTATTTAATTATTTTCCAACTAATGGAAATTTGGATAAAAAAAGAAGTATGTGATTGAAATGGTGTTGAAGGTCCATTCATAGAAACTGAGATTCTCTGTAAACGGAGCACAAGCAAATTCAATTACCAAATATACGATGATTGTCAGTGAAAGGAAGTCCGTTAGGTGTATCGAGGGATGCCTATCTGTGTCGTCTAGGGTCTGAGCCGCGGTTCGCGAGGTTTCCCCTCTTCTGCAGGTCTTCTCGCGTTTCCATCTCTTGTCGTCGTCTTATCGATTCAATTTCATCTTTTACTTGAATAAATATACCGATTCTATGAAAAAAAAAATTATCGAATTATTATTCAGAATCATTAAACATATTAGGATTTAATTTAAATATATCAGATTCTTTTCGATTTTCCAAAAAATAAGTTTATGTAAGAATATATGATGAGAGATATATGAAAGAATGACTTTAAAAAAATCAATGTTTTTAAAGAAAAGTGATATATGTATATATTAGTATAGTAAATGTATGTATTAATATAGTATATATTAGAATTTTGATCTTCCATATAATGGAGTTTTCTTAATTCTTAAATTTAAAGTTGATTGATTACATAAATGGAAGAATACAAAAAATGATTTCAGATTCAGATGCAGGATCAAAAACTTAATAGAGTTTGTTATCCATACGGTTTCCTCTTTAGCTTCCTCTTTGAGATTGTTGTCTCTTATTCTGTAAAAGTATTTTAAACGTCATTTAGCAGTAAAGATTTGGTCGAATTATTTTTATGAATAGTTTTGCATAATCATTTCTTTTTTATTACGAAAAATAATTTGAATATATTATAATAATAAAAATATGTAATGCACAAAATGAAAAAGTTAAAAAAGATTAGGCTTTGATTAATATAAATATTTTCAGGCACAACGACCGGAACAAAGTGTGATGCAAGCATTAGAAAGTTTAAATGATTCTCAAGTGAACGATTTCCTTTCTGGCAAAGCCCCTTTGAATCTTACCATGCGATTGGGGGATCACATGATGTTGATACAGTTACAATTATCCACTGTAACTCCGGCCTCACCAACAGCCAATCAAACAACTAATAATACAACCGGATTAACTATCGGTGGAAACAGTTCCAATGGATCTAACTTATCAACCAACCATGTTTCAACTTCTTTGCAAAGTAGACGATCTACTGTCCTGGCTGCACGTTCTAATAATTCTGCGAAATTACAAAGTGGTACTGCGGCTGCGAGGACATCTTCTTTGATAAGCAGTTTGGCTTCAGCATTACATGCAGCAGCTAGTTGTAGTACCAGTCTCTCAACAGCTACTACTACAACTAGTCCAGTTTGTTCGAGTCGTGCTACAACTGTTTCTTCCATTTCCTCGTCGTCCTCGTACTCGCCAATTAGTCCTTCACATTCATCTCTTTGCGCTAACCAACTACCATCCGCTCGAAATAGTAGCAGCCATGGCTCAATATCGTCTAATGGAAATTCTAATGCCTGTCAATCTTGCCTTCTATATCACCATCACCATCATCATCATCATAGTCATCATCACCATCATCACCATCATCATCACCATCATCACTCAAGAAATAAACCTATCAGTTTATCCAATAGCAACCAATCTCTTTCATCCTCTATGGACCATTTGCAACAATCTACCTCTACAGGACACGGATGTATAGAACCAGTATCCTATGACATAACTCCGCCGAGAAAAAAACTCTGTCCTGCTCATCATCATGGTCAACAATCTAATGATACAGACTCCTCCAGAAGTAATATAATGGATAGCGATATCAATCCCCAGAGTCCTACTTCTTCATTAACTGAACAAAATTCAAAGGCTGCAACTTTAGACACCAGGGCGCTAGCTGAAGCTTCTCGTAACTTGACGCAGAAACTGAAGCAACTCTCTTCTGAGGTACTCACCTCACGGGTCGACCTCGCAGAGGTATACATTGTTACCGATGCCAGTTCCCCCTGTGTACTATTTCATATATACCTTAGAATGTGTATTTATTAAGATCCTAAGAGACAAAAATTGTGAAATATTTTTATGATTTTCATAATAGCATTATATTTTAATGATTCATATTATAAAAAAAATTTATTAAAGAATCTCTTAGGTTCTTAAATATATTTTTATTTTGTCCTCTTTCTTTGATTTTTGATTGTATGATTTTTTTTATAATTAAATGCATGCAATGTAAAATAAAAAAATGTAAAATCAATATACATTAGTA